AAGGCATTTGACTCTCTGCCACATGATTGGATAATCAAGTGCCTAGAAATAACAGGAGTCAGTAGAAACATCAGAAAATTTGTGCAAAGATCGATGGCACAATGGAAGACACAGTTGCAGATCAATGGTGAGAAGCTGGGAGAGGTTAATATCAAGAGAGGAATATTTCAAGGAGATTCATTATCACCATTACTATTTGTTATTGCACTATTTCCTCTGTCAACAATACTGAATAACTCAGGACATGGCTATCAAACATCAAAAACATCTGCCAGACTATCCCACCTCCTTTACATGGATGATCTGAAGCTGTATGGAAAAACATCATCTGAAATAGAATCGCTGCTCAACACTGTCCGTATATATAGCCAAGATATTGTAATGGAGTTTGGCTTGGACAAATGTGCCACACTTACTATCAAACAAGGAAAAATAGTGAAAACTGAAGGAATCAAGATGCCCCACGAAAATAACATTAAGAGTCTGGATGAGGAAGAGTACTACAAATACTTGGGTATCCTTCAAGCTGACAACATCAAGCACACTGAAGTCAAGAAAAAGATTAGAGGTGAATACATCAAGAGAGTGAAGAAGATCTTAAAGTCCAAACTCAATGGAGGAAATACCATAAAGGCAATCAACACCTGGGCAATCCCAGTCATTAGGTACACAGCTGGAATAGTGGACTGGACTCAAGCAGAACTAAAAGCAATGGATAGGCAGACCAGAAAAATAATGACAATGAATCATGCCCTTCATCCACGCAGTGACATTGATAGACTTTATCTACCAAGGCAAATAGGTGGGCGTGGAATGCTACAAGTACATCAGATGGTTGAAGAAGAAAAAATGGCTTTGGAAGAATATCTGAAGAACAATGATGAAGATGCACTGAAATTAGTATATCAGGAAGGCTTACTAACTACTGGAGAGACCAAACTGGCCTACAAGAAAGACCAAATGAAGAACAGAATAGAGGCATGGGAAGACAAAGCACTACATGGCCAATACATGAAAAAAATAGCTGGGAAAGCAGATAATAATAAAACCTGGCAATGGCTAAGAGCAGGAAAATTGAAGAAAGAGACCGAGGGACTAATTCTGGCTGCACAAGACCAAGCCTTAAGGACAAATGCATACAAAGTCAAAATTGAGAAGACAGCAACAGACAGTAAGTGCCGCCTATGCAAAGAAGCTGAAGAAACAGTGGACCACTTGGTAAGCTGTTGCAAGAAGATTGCACAGACTGATTACAAGCAGCGGCATGACAAAGTAGCAACAATGGTGCATTGGAAGATCTGCAAAAAATATCATTTGCCTGTAAGCAAAAACTGGTGGGATCATAAAATAGAGAAAGTCATAGAAAATGATAAAATTAAACTGCTCTGGGACTTCAGAATTCAAACAGACAAGCACCTGCAACATAACACCCCAGATTTAACAATTGTCGATAAGAAAGACAAAAAAGTCTGGATAGTGGACGTGGCAGTGCCTGGAGACAGCAGAATAGAAGAGAAAGAACTGGAGAAGATAACAAAATACAAAGACCTACAAATAGAAATAGAAAGACTGTGGCAAAAGCAAGCAAGGGTAGTACCAATAGTAATAGGCTCCTTGGGTGCAATCCCAAAACAACTGGAGCACCACTTGAACACCATTGGCATTGACAAATTCGCTATTAGTCAATTGCAAAAGGCGGCCTTATTAGGAACTGCTTCCATCCTGCGACGATACCTGTAAACCATCAAACATCCACATCTGCCTATCCCAGGTCCTGGGTAAGGACTCGATAGGTAGACAAAATGCCAAATCCAGTCTGAACATCTGGCTGACTGTGCGATAATCCATAATAATAATAATAATAAAGTTGGAAGGGACCTTGGAGGTCATCAAGTCCAACCCCCTGCTCAGGCAGGAAACCCTATACCATTTTGGATAAATGGCTGTCCAGTTTCTTCTTAAAAACTTCCAGTGTTGGAGCATTCACCGTTTCTGGAGGCAGGTCGTTCCACTGGTTAATTGTTCTAATTGTCAGGAAGGTTCTCCTAAGTTCTAGGTTGCTTCTCTCCTTGATTAGTTTCCATCCTTTGCTTCTTGTCCTGCATTCAAGTGCTTTGGAAAACAGCCTGACTCCCTCTTCTCTGTGGCAGCCCTTGAGATATTGGAACACTGCTATCATGTCCCCCCTCGTCCTTCTCTTCATTAAGCTAGACATACCCAATTCCATCAACCGTTCCTTATATGTTTTAACCTCCAATCCCCTAATCATCTTTGTTGCTCTTCTCTGTACTCTTTCTAGAGTCTCAACATCTTTTTTACACTCCTATGGGATTAAGTAGTAAGTAGCCTTTTTGGATGGGATTTCACTTCCTCTTAATGGTCAGAATTCAGACATTCAAATAAAAAATTTTATTATACACATAGTCCCAGTATAGGAGTTCAGACACTAGATTTGGGTGTTCAACTGGCTTTAGTGATCACACTTAGATTTTAATTTTAGCCTTTTTCTGAGTAGGAACGGTTGTCTACAACAGTAGGCATCTTGCTAATTATCCATTTACATGTGTAGTATTTTGTATATGCCTGAGGTGCGCTTTTGTAAATTACAGTTAATTCAAAATGTGGCAGCTTAAAATGGATCAAGCTAGTGGAGAATAACTTATCTTTTTAAAACAGTGGACTGGCTACAATGGTCAGTTGACAAGTTCCAATTAAAGTCTTGGAGTTTCATTTAAAGTCTTAAGAATATTTGAAACACTAAAGACCTTCCTTCTTCCAAATTGCAACTATTAGAATCCTTATTGAAGACCTTTCTTAGTCCTCCAGCCTCTCCCCTAAAATTGTCTAGCATAGTTTCAAAGAATCTAAGTACATTTTTAATGCTGATTATCTGCAGCAGACAGAGTAGCAGACAGACTACAGGAAGATGAAGATGAAGGAGGAGGAAGAGGAGGGAGAAGGAGAGGAGAGGAAGAAGAAGAAGAGGAAGAAGAAGAAGAAGAAGAAGAAGAAGAAGAAGAAGAAGAAGAAGAAGAAGAAGAAGAAGAAGAAGAAGAAGAAGAAGAAGAAGAAGAAGAAGAATAAGAAGAAGAAGAAGAAGAAGAAGAATAAGAAGAAGAAGAAGAAGAAGAAGAAGAAGAAGAAGAAGAAGAAGAAGAAGAAGAAGAAGAAGAAGAAGAAGAAGAAAGTATTTCTATTTGTCATTTCTTTATGATGGCTCCATGCTTTATTTTCCTCAGTGATAATGATAATATTCTGAAAAGAATAGGACTTCTGTCTCTGAGGGACTCTTTTCTTTGCTCTCTAACACCTTAATAAGAGTAGCTGCATTTGGCAAATTTTATGTTCCATGGAGTTTTAAATGGTCAATGACCCTGTTCCTTTGAGAGTAAAAGTCAAAATTTCACTTGACCAGTAGGCTTACATCCCCCCAAAATGAAATTGTATGATTTCTGCCCTGATTTACATAGTATATTATTTGTATCATATAAAATGCAACTTCTGCGGTTTAGAAAATTTTAAAATGTCAAGGAAACAATTTCTAGAAATGGCCTATGTCACAATGGCCTGTAAATGACTTGCTGTTTGCCATTGTGCTGATTTTCAGTTAGGGTTTGAAATTCCTTGAAATTGATTATTTTATTTAGTGTCTCTAGATAAACTACTAGATTCATATTTTGTTAACAGTTTATGGAACAGACTGACCTCCCAACTTGGTAAGTAGGCCATTTCAATCCCGGACCAATATTTAGAAATTTATTTTAATTAAACTTACCTTTGTAATTGGAATAATGGGTTTAGGTATTTGCCTTGTTTTAAATGCAGAAAGCTCTGATACAACTATCTGTATGCAATTTCTTTTAAAATTTTACCTCAGTTCTAAAATCCTGTCATTTCAATATATCAAAATCAGTCTGGGACCTTTTGGGAAAGCAGTGTTCAGGAAAATGAGAGAATTTAGCAGAATGGCTTTTACATAGTTTAAGGGGTTACCTCTAGAAAAGGGAAAGAACACTCCATACAGGTACAAACATAGAGGTCATCTCAGGCACTCTATTCTCTAAAATCAGAAGGATGCCTCCCCCTCCCATGTTCTTGCTTTTCATTCTATGATTGCACAAAACTACATTAGCAGAAGACTTCATACCACTATGTAAAACACATTGCAGATATATGGAACATTCTCTAATATTTTTTTTTTAATTTCCTTTGATACATTTCTTGTGCATCCTGCTGTTAAATACCCAAAAGAAAAAGTCCAAAACATCTAGTTTGTCTCCTATGTAGTGATAACGTGGAAGTTGGTCCCATTACTTTTATTCTGGCATCAGTTTGCCAGAGAGAGACAAAAATACTAATAAATTATAAACTTGGGGATCAAATGCTAATGGGTTCTGGCAGAATGATCACAATGATGCCACAAAAGCAAACTATTTAATTGAGCATAATTGCACTAGAAAATCTTAGGGATAAGAAAGGAAATGCCAAAGTGTAAAAGCCAAACAGTACAAAAGAAGCAAGTGGGTGGGAGAAATGGATGGGTAATTGAAAGCTTTTCTAAATATGACTTGAGAATATTTGTGAGGCAGGGAGGAGGGAAGAATAAGGGAAATGCCAAAAACCAGTTGGACAAAACCTGTAAGCTTTTTGCCTTATCTATGAGAATCAGATGATGTGTGTGTCATGCTAGTTTTTATAGTCATCGCCCACAGTCTCACCCTGATAAAATCAAATTTGACAGTAGCACAATATAGAGGTTTAACTGACAGCACACACAGCACATTTGCTAGTCATAATGCCACAGTTTAATGACTGACGCATCTGGGAAGCTAATTCAGATTTTTTTTCTCTCTCTCTCTTTTTGAATGGGATAAAGGAGCATCCAGTTAATTCCAACTGTGAATTCAAGCCTTGCGACAAAACTGATGCTACATACTCTTGTTCTTGTTCTGCATATTCTGCAAATTGAAGTACAGGAAAAGAGCCACTTTGTACATACATCCGGAGAGAAAATTCATTTTGTATTTTGTATATACAACCAGCTTGTTACTTTTTAGGTAAACAAAGTAACTGGCCTTAATTGTTAAATAGGCTATGAATTACAAACGGTGTGCCTGTTTTGAGAAAAATTACAGGTTACAGAATTTTACAAGCAGATATAGTATAAATAAAATATTCATATAAAAATAGTCTCTTACAAAATATATTCTTTTATCCTATGGTTCATTTTCCAAAGGTGGAAACTTGCCTGGCGTTTTGCATTTATATATGTCATGTGTTATTTCCAACTGGATTTTGAAATGATCCTTTTAAACAAAAAAATTGGAAAAATTATGTACTGTGAAATATAGAGAAGATGAATAGCAATTTGAGATTCCAGACAACTAGCAGCATACAGCTCAAAATTATAAAAGATGCCTGCTTTTGTACTTAACACCTGTAGAAACTATCCTGCATTTGCAACTAGTAGAAATATCTAAGTAAACAATAATATATACACCTCAAGGGTTTCCCCTCTACTAAATCTACAAAAATGATTCCACAAAAAAGCAGGGTATTTACTTTAATTGCAGAATGCTCCCAAAAAATTGGTGGTAAAAATTAATTAAATAAATTAATATTAGTTTTATCTGCAAAAGTGACTAAATATTGCTATAATTATTATGCCAAGTTTTCCCAACACGCTGTGCTAAAATCAGCAGCAGAGCAGAAAAGCAGCTAAACCAGTGTTTATATGGGAAGTACCCATTGGTCTACTTGCATTAGCACAGGCAGAAGAATGGGAATACAAGGAACAACCAACAAGGAACAATTAACAGAAGTTTTTTTTTCACAAATGTAGAAATCCCTACAACTGCATAATCCACACTCTTTCAATGGAAACTCACACAGGCGCATTGTCATCCAATTGTGGACAAAGCCTCTCTTAAAATATGACATTTTTTTTTCTCAGCTCACACTTTAGGCACATTGCATGGTCTTTTGATCACTTTTATCCAGCCTCATGAGTGCCTCCTCCAAGAAAATTCAACTTTTCCCACAATTTTAAGGCAGTCCGTAATGTTTGGATGGCCCAGATTATTTGAGCATTTCTCCAATTTATTTTATTTATGTAGTTTAGGTATCTGAAGTTTTGCATTAGGGAAAATAGTTTGTTTCTGGGTTCCTTTTAAAAAGTCTGGGTGTAGTTTTTGGGCTATTCCCAAAAGTCTTTGACCATTATCCACTATAAACACTGTTAAAAGGGGAGGAAAACGGGATTATTTTGCTGGACTTTCTTTTGGAAACCATTTGGGCCTTTGCTACAGTATTATTTAGATACACTGAGCTTATGTGCAAAAAAAAGTGTGTACTCCAAGGCTTTAAGTTCCCCTGCCAAAGCCATGCTTTCATTTACAGGTGTAGACTTCTGTTCGTTCACTGCATGTGTTACATTTGACATAACAGCACCAGTGAAATTTGCAGTTGCACTGCCAGACTCTGGAATATTGATGAGTGTTATAACCTCGTCCACAACACATCAGATCACAGCCATTGGTTTGCTGGGCTGTTTTGTTGCACATTCTGCCCTGTGTACCCACACTGCCAGTCACAGGATCCTCTTCACAGTAGTTGGGCGATTTCTCTATGTAGACCAAGTCTGTATCCATTGGTTTACGATAGGAGAGTGGTTTCTTTATCTTCAGAAAAGTGGGACGCTTATTACGACTTGCCCGCACAGGTTCAACCTGAACAGCTTCATTGTATTTCTCCTTAAGGATGTAGCCCAGCTCCCTGAATTTAGGAAGAGTTGTCCAGCATGTTTTAGTAGTGCATGATCCTGACACTCCATGGCACTTGCACTCCAACTTCATGTTCTCTTCAAGGATCTGGAGTGAAAAGAAAAGAAGACATGATGTTCAGTTCAAATGGCTAAATGCCAGGAAATATTCTTTATTTCTGGAACAAAAAAATAATATTAAAAACAGAACAAATAGGATAGTGAAAAACCCCACAATTTAGAAATCAAATGTTCTGCAGAACCTCAGAATATTCCATTTGCTCCCTCCCTCCAGACCATCCCAACTTTTTCTATATGGAGCCATTTTGAAAATGACTCAGCAATTTTTGAAGTAAACCCCCAAACAGGAAGTGAGTTGAGGTGTTACTTTATCCCAGAACACTATCTTCAAGATATCTCAAAATTCTTCTAAGGCAGATGATACTTTCCCAGAAGCCATCAAAGCACTTTGAAAAAGCATGAATTAAAAAAGTTTCAGTATGTTCCTGAGATGGAATAGAATGTTTCAGAATTTTTTTAGAATATTCCAATCCCAGATTAATCAGTTTTCCTCTTTCCTAAGAACAATCAATACTGTACTGTATATATTCCAGTTTTTGTCTTCCAATTAAAGGTTCATGGAAACAAAGTTGGAACACTATATCTTTAACTGCTGCCTGATCAATCTCATTTTATATCCAGAAGTGCTATTATCCTCAGTTTTTACATTTATTTTCAGAGCGAGAGAAATTCCAAGTTCTAAGGCCCTTCCAAATCATTTTTAAAATATGTACAGCATGAAAATAGAGCAAGGCAAAAGTAGGGTCTATCACAAGAAAGCCTTGTGCATAAAATCTAGTCTAGTACTGGTAACTGTAGGCAATCTAATTAAGGATTCTTAAATAAGTTTTCCAGTTTACCCTCCACTGAATAAGTTGCATGATCAGAAGCACCAAACATACCTTGAGGTGTACAAAGGATTTTAGATTGGGATAGCAACCCTTCAGTGCTGTTGTTTTATGAATTATGTTTTTTCTTTATGTAAACCATAGTGCATAGAGTCTAATCAAACTCTAATTTTATACATTATGCTTCGGGCTTTGCTACATCCTTCATGTTTCCATTTGACATACCCAAAAGGTGACAAAGGCAATAACCTAATCTGCATTCATTTTAAAATCTCATAGTTCTGTACTGTGATTAAACTGGCAGCTTTGATGAAAGTAGACTACACTTTTACAGTGTCCAAGTTCCAATTCAGCCCATGGATAGACAGAGACATGACTACAGAGGGAATCAACGGCTCCATTTGAAAGAGCTGAGTAAGCTGCTGCAGAGGATCAACAGCTAAAAAGTCTCATGACATATGTTGAGCTTGCTGTTCTCCGGATTGTATCTTGATGCCAGCTGGAACAAGCTCTGGGAGCTGTCCTGTCTAAATCTTTCTGATATTTCCTCCCAATTTCATTAGCTCCCAACCTCCACTTTGAAGAAAACATTCCTTTCCTTTTTTTCGGAGTTTTGACACAGATAAATGTATATCATTGGTAAGGATATGCACTGACAATAAGATTTGGGTCAGGCACAAGTTTGTTTTCTTGTGAAATAACGAAGTTTAATTTGGGAAAAATCAGAGACTACCTGATTTGATCCAGGATCCAAATCTAATGTGAGTTGCCCCTTTTCCAATGACTCTAATGAATAGGCAAAGTGTTTTTTACTGCTTTTATGAGGTGCTCTATTTCAACTAGCCTCTCAGACTCAATGTGTTATGGTGCTCTGGGTTCCCAAAATATTGTGGCAGAGTTGAGCTATATTGATTGCAGGTAGTCTTTGACTTACAACCACAATTGGCACCAGAATTTTCATTGCTAAGCAATAAGTGAGTTGCACCTGGTTTTACAACCTATTTTGCCACAGTTGTTAACCAAATTACTGCAGGTGTTAAGTGAATCATACAATCATTAAGAGGATCTGCTTCCCCCATTGACTTTGCTTGTTGGAAGCCAGTTGGGAAGATGGCGATCACATGACTCTGGGACATTGCAATTGTTGTAAACACATGCCAATTGCTAAGTGCCTGAATTTTGATCATGTGAGTATGGTGATGCTGCAATGGTAGAGTAGAGTAGAGTAGAATAGAATAGAATAGAATAGAATAGAATAGAATAGAATAGAATAGAATAGAATAGAATAGAATAGAATAGAATAGAACCTGGAGGTCTTATAATCCAACCCCCTGCTCAGGCAGGAAACCCTATACCATTTCAGACAAATGGTTGTTCAATCTCTTCTTAAAAACTTCCAGTGTTGGAAAACCCACAACTTCAGGAGGCACGTTGCTCCACTGATTAATTGTTTTAACTGTCAGGAAATTTCTTCTTAGTTCTAGGTTGCTTTTCTCTTTGGTTAGTTTCCATCCATTGCTTCTTGTCCTGCCTTCAGGCGCCTTGGAAAATAGCTTGACTCCCTCTTCTTTGTGGCAGCCCCTGAGATATTGGAACACTGCTATGATGTCCCCCCTCGTCCTTCTCTTCATTAAACTAGACATACCCAATTCCAGCAACCATTCTTTACATCAGGGGTGTCAAACTGCTGGCCCGCGGGCCAAATGCATCATCCGGAAGCTGCGCCCACCCCATTACCAGCAATGAACTCGTGACGTCACCCCATTACCGGCAATACATCTCGTGACGTCATGTGACGTCGTGAGTTTGATATGTCTGCTTTACATGTTTTAGCCTCCAGTCCCCTGATCATCTTTGTTGCTCTTCTTTGCACTCTTTCTAGAGTCTCAACATCTTTTTTACATCATGGTGACCAAAACTGGATGTAGTATTCCAAGTGTGGCCTTACCAAAGCATTATAAAGTGATATTAACACTTCACGTGATCTTGATTCTATCCCTCTGTTAATGCAGCCTAGCTCTGTGTTCACTTTTTTTGGCAGCTGCAGCACACTGCTGGCTCATATTTAATTGATTGTCCACTAGGACTCCAAGATCCCTCTTATAGTTGCTACTATTGAACAAGATACCTCCTATACTGTACCTGTGTATTTGGTTTTTCTTGCCTAAATGTAGAGCCTTACTTTTTTTACCACTGAATTTCATTTTGTTAGATAGCACCAAATGTTCAAGTCTGTCAAGTTCCTTCTGTATCTTAAGCCTATCTTCTGCAGTGTTGGTTATTGTAAATGTGAGAACTGATTGTAAGTCAATTTTTATAGTGCCAATGTAATTTAAGCTGGTCACTAAATGAATGGTTGTAAGTCAAGGACCACCTGTATGTTGCCTCAGTGTTATAGGATAACTGAAAAGAAGCAGCTTCCTTGAAGCATTTCAAAAAAGATACTTGGCGCAAAGTTTCATGAAAGCAATGCATACTTTTAAAATTCCACATGTCACTATAACCTTTTAACTTTTTTATAGAATGGAATTAAATGTTCAGATATTTTAAATGCTCCTGAGTGGAATCTTTTGCCCGGTTTCTGAAGAATAGTAGCAGTGGTTTTGGAGCTAAGCTCCATGTAATTAAACCAGAAAGTTTAACTGTTGGTTCTGAAATGTGTTTAAACACGATAAATTAGTCTCTGTTTCTTAGTGAACAATTTTTATGAAAATTGAAGTTATTGTAGAGGGGCCCTGTTGTCAGAGACCTCCCTAATTTAAGATAGATTAAGAGATTTCAGTGTTTAAATTGTGATTTTTCTAAAGGAATATAAGTGCTTTTAACTTCGTTGAAATGTGGCCAAAATTATATAATATTTGCTATATGGGAACTCCTTAACAGTGTGAAATTCTGTTAGGTTTAGAAAAATGAATTCCTAGTTCTCACTGTGTATACAAGATCATTTATAAATCAACTAATGTTCCCTAGAAAACTTCTGAATTTCACAAATGGTTCCTACCTTTATTCCTTGTTCTATCTGCTTTCCCTCTGCACATTCTGTAGAGGTATTTGCCTTCCACACTGCTCAGACAGCAGGTCTTCCAACGGTCCCAATTCTGTTCATTCAAAGCCAGATCAAAGCTGCTCTATGAGCTGAGACTGTTCCCCTATGCAACATCTTATGACCTCTTATACTTTCCAGTCTGTAAGGATCTTAAGAAAAGGTCTTATCACTCCTGACCCAGGAAAATTCTGATGTTTTTTTATATTTATGTGTTGTTATCAGATCAGTATGATTCAGTCTCCCCAGAGGTAGTCAAATATTGTTATACTGCTTGTAAAATTAAAAAGACATTGAATGAGGATTAAAAGGAAAATATAAATTATGAGTGTTTGCTGATGATTTGCCGATAATTTAAGGAAAAATTAAAGAATTTTGGTGAATTAGCTGGATTTAAAATAAATAATGAGAAGATGAAGATGTTAGCAAAAAACATGAAGATGGAAGAGCAAAAATAGTTAGCGGTTTTAAGATTGAGAAAAAAATGAAATACTTGAGTATTACTATGACAATTATGAATTGTGTGTTATTTCAGAACAATTATGTTAAGACAGAATGAAATTAGGAAGGATATTAAGAAGGATGAGAGAAATTACAAGTGTCATTGGTGTGGGGAATATCTGTGATAAAAATGAATGTATTATTATAATCACTGTTTTGCTTTGAACAATACCTATTTTGAACTGCTACATCATTTAATGACAGAAAAATATATCTAGGTTTGTACAGCAAGTGGAGAAGCAAAAGGTTAAATATAAAATCCTTCACTATGCAAAGAAATGGGGAGGACTGGGACTGCCTGACTTGAAATTGTATTTTGTAGCCTCCTACTTGATTTGGATGAAGGTGCAGGTGCTGCTGACAAATAGAAGAATGGAAGAACTAGATCAGGGATAGGCAATCTTAGCTCTTTTATGACTGATGGACTTCAACTCCCAGAATTCTGGAGCCAGCCGGAATTCTGGGAGTTGAAGTCCATGAGTCATAAAAGAGCCAAGGTTGCCTACCCCTGAACTAGACAAGCACAGCCTGAGATTTAGATGACTTTCTATGGTTCAATAAAGTTAAGGTTAATATAGTTTTTAAAAATCATGACACTAGACATGCCATATTGAGAATATGAAATAGATACAAACCCAGATTACATCTGAAAAAGCC